TAAGTCTGCATGACTATAACTCAATAAAAAACATAAGGGTGGTCATGAAACTTTTGAGTACTGGTAGTTCACCTGTTAAACCCAACTTTACTTTTCAAACTAGAAGGTGTTGTTTATTTGGATCAGTAAGGTAAATTTGGAAACTTTACATGTTAAATCAACACTAAAATTAATTAGTCCTTAGACTACTTCATTCATTGAATACAAAGAGTGGGATCATCAGATTTCTAATCTAGTGGGTTTAAAGCCACAACGAAAATCTGAGTTTGATTCCCCATAATTACATCGTAGGCTGTTTCCTTATTTCAATTTTTTTTGTGCTTCCTACATGGAATTAAAAATAAGAACATCCTTGTGGTTCGGCTAAAAATTCAGAGAAGAAGCTTGCATATAAAAAATGTTGGTGTTTAGTGCTAGACTGTATTGATAGGTCAATGTTTCGTAAATATTCAAGATTGGAGTAGAAGGATGTGTATAATTTTGACAGTCATAGTGAGTGATTTGTTACTATTTGTCTTGAGATGAGCTATTGAATACTAGATAAGAATCTGCTTAAGTAAACCTTGTTGTGATGGTTGTTCCGAATTCACGTCAAACATGGTGATACAGTTATAAATCGTGGTAATTTATGCTGTGCATCCAATTTCTTCAACCTGAATATATGGTTTAATTGCATCAACAAGATAAATTGGAGAACATTAGATGTTGATTAGAGCTATGAATTTATTAGTCCTAGATGAGTTCACTTAGTGGTACAAAGAGTAGAATTAGTGAATTTGTGAAATTTAGTTTGTGTACAAGATTTGTGTTTCTTGTGAGGACTTAATGTTCATGCTTAGCCAAATGAAATGGAGAGAATTAGCTGAAATTTGAAATGTGAATGTTCAATGAGATGAGCTGTGTTGTAAGATTAGAGTTTTTGACTCTTGATGGTTTGGAAGTATTAGCTGTGATATCTCGACAATAATGGGTCGGTTACAGTGGTTTGTCTTTAAGTAAGTAGTTGATTATAGATAATCATCTCTTAAATATTGTTTGTTGCAGAAGTGGTTCAAAATTCATTTAAAAGCATCATTTAAAGTTGTGCTGCGGCTGAGCTGGTTACAGGTAGTTTGGAAGTAAATGATGTTGACTTAGTTGGTGAAAGTTCTTTTGTAACAGATGAGTTTTTGTAGTTAATTTTTTTGGTGATCGTTTAGAGTAGTGTTCAGAAGCGAGAATCAAAGAAAAGTGAGAAATGAAAAAAAAGCGACAATGGCTCACTTCACCGAAGTGTGAAGTGAAACACACTTTTTTCAAATAAAGCACTATTTGGTATCAAAATAAAAAATATTAAATATGCATAGATAAATGATTAAGAACTCAAACTCGTCGGGGTGGCCTAGTGGTTTGGGATTGAGACTTCCATATTGGAGGTCTCATGTTCGAAACCCCTTGCTAGTGAAAGCAAGGGGTTTGACTTTTGGGTCGAGCTCGTCGCACCGGGCTTGCCTAGTGTTGGTTACCTCTCTTGTGTGGTTTGCGAGCTATTACATAGGAGCGGGGTTTTTAGCGCACCCTAAGGCCTAAGGGTAGCGGCGGTAGGTTTCCCTTGTCATAAAAAAATGATCAAGAGCTCACCCAAAGGGTAGTGGCGGTGGGTTTCCTTTGTCATAAAAAAATGATCAAGAACTCAATAGACGTAACATATTTAACAAAACTTTCAATTCTTAGATAAAATAAAAAAGTAAATAATAGATACTAGAAATAGATATTGAATAAGAAAATACAACTTGCTACAAGCAAAAATAGAACAATGACTAGAACTCAATAGACCTCTAACATATTAGGCAAATTCAATTCTTAGATAAGAAAGTAAATAATAGATACTAGAAGTAGATATTGAATAAGAAAATACAACTTGCTACAAGCAAAAACAGAACAATGACTCTCACAAAACAGAGCAACAAAACAAAAATAGAGCATACGCAGTAGCATTACAAATAGAGGAATCTTGAATTAGAAGAAATAGCAAGAGAGTTGTTAGAATAGAAATAGGAATAGCAATAGATATAGGAATAGTATTTAGTTTCCTACTTGGTAAAGGATTGTATTGTAGTTCTATAAATAGGGTCTATATGTAACAATGTAGATACAACAATTCAATAATAATCTTTTCCAATATTTCTCACATGGTATAAGAACCTCAATGATCTTGGTAAACAATTGAAGAGCTTTTGCTGTCGGCGGACGGCTATTACCCATATATGTTTCCCGTCTCGCCAACAATTATGTTAGCAAAAGTTGTAGCACCGTGCCATCTTCCTGGTGACTACTTGTTCATATTTAATTTGTGTAACATCGTGCCATCTTTCCGGTGACTACTTTTTCATAATTAATTTGTGTAGCATCAGGCCATCATCTACTTTCTCATATCGATTTGTGTAGCATGGTGCCATCATTCCGGTGACTACTTTTTCATATCTTATATGCGTAGCACCGTGCCATCCTTTCGATGACTTTTTTTAAAATCTGATTTGCATAGCACCGTGCATCTCTTCGGACTACTTTTCATATTTAATTTGCGTAGTACCATGGATTTTTTCGAACTACTTTCTCATAATTGAGTTGCATAGCACGATGTGTCTTTTTGGTGACTCCTTTTGATTTGCGTAGTTTCATTCGTCTTTCCGGTGACTCCTCAAATCTGATTTGCGTAGGGTTGTGCCATTATTCCCACCCTACCCATATAATTTCTCTTTTTCAGTAGGGCCGTGCGATCATTTCTACTGAACTCATATAATTTTATTTCTTAGGCGTATGAGCATGTTCCAACCAGTTTTTCGATACCTTTCTTGTTTAACATCGACTCCTCTATTGATTCCAACATGATCCATATACTTTATACTAGATTTTGAGCACTTTCGGCGACTGTTGCATTGTGAAGAAGTCTATATGGAGTAAACACCTAATTTTTTTGCTCGGGGGGAGTTTAGTAGCCTTGTATGTCGATTGTGTTCAGTCACTCTATGGTCTAAAACAGTCTTTGCAAGCTTGGTTTGGGAAGTTCAACACCGTAATTTTTTCACTGTGTTTTATCGGCATTTTGCATCAAATTCAGTATTTCATGAGAATACCAAGCACATTGAGATTGACTGACATTATGTATCAAATCCAATATTTCATGAGAAAACTAAGCACATTGAGATTTGTGAAGTCGAGTGATCAACGGGTAGACATCTCACCAAGCTTCTCATCGGTTCGCGTATTAATTACATTTGTAACAAGCTAGATACATATGATTTGTATGCACTAGCTTGAGGGGGAGTGTTAGAATAGGAATAGGTATATACAATCCTGCTTAGAATAGAAATAGGAATAGGAATAGTAATAGAAATATGAATAGTATTTACTTTCCTACTTGGTAAAGGATTGTATTGTAGTTCTATAAATAGGGTCTCCATGTAATAATATCTATACAACAATTCAATAATATTTTTTTCCAATATTTCTCACAAGAACAACTGATTGAAAAGAAAAAAAAACTACATACCTTGCGCAATCTAGAAACAGAAAGAGAAGAAGAACCAACGTAAGTATTTTTACAAAGATTCCAGCCGCAGTCGACAAAGGAGGGAAAATATTTGGTAAAATTTACGTAAGTATTTTTACAGAAATAAAGAAAAACCTAGTTAGCGCTTGTCTCTAAAAGCGAGCTTTTTCTAGCTTTTATAAAAAGCACGCTTCTCCCGTTTGGGACAGAAGCACACATTTCTTCACTATCGCGTCACTTCAAGGCATTAAAGCGACAACCTATTGCTTCGCTTCTCGCTTTAGCAAGCGCTTCAACGTTTTTAACAAGACTGGTTTGGAGCCAACCCATTGGACCAACTTGGGATATTGGTCTCCGTTTAAATACTAGATTTAGTTCACTTACGTAGAACTCAAACTAGTGTACTAAAATACAAGCCCCATGCCAATTGAGCATAGTATCTTTAACATACTTTTGGAATCTAAACTTGGAAATATAATGATTTATTTGGTTGAACCATTGAAACACACGTGTGCTAACGAACTTGGTATATGAGATTTTGCCTTCTAGGAATTAAGATGAAATTGTCCGTTGTATTGACTTTATATACTTAATTGTATTTTGGTGATTCTTTCTAATTATGTGCTTATACATAATGTCTTTGGAATGTTTCAGTGGAGATTGTGAACTTGGAATGTTTTGCTTTGGTTTCAAATGACACCAGAGCTAAATATTCCAAGTCCACATTCCCACTGAAACATTCCAAAGACATTATGTATAAGCACATAATTAGAAAAAAATAAATCAAAATGCTTCTGTAATCACCAAAATACTAAGTATATGAGTCAATACAATGGACAGTTTCATCTTAACTTTGAGAAGACAAAATTTTATATAACAAGTTCGTTGATACGCATATATGCTTCAACCTAATAAGTCGTTACATCTCTAGGTTTAGATTCAAAAAACATGATGAAAATGACTATGCTCAATTGGCAAAGGTTGGTGGTTTGTATTTTAATACAATGGTTTGAGTTCTATGTCAAGTGAACTTAATCTAGTATTTAAATGGAGTAAAGTGAGATCATCATCTTTGAGTTTTGTACTGTACATTAGCCCAAATGATTGGCTCCAGACCAATTTCTCGGTTACCAAATAAAAATATGACTACAAAACTCATCGTTACAAAAAACTTTTATCTACGAAGTTAACATGTAATTGATTAGCATAAGTTATTGCATATTGACAAATGCTACCAATTATCCTTGCAGTGTTATCAAAGGCGCACTTAAGCCTTGAAGCGAGGCTCAAAACATGTTGAGCGCTTTGTCTCGTTTAATGTGCTTCAATGTTGTCAGCAAGGTTCTAAAACATATTTTTCCTTGCCAATGAACTTCTTCTGAAGAGACGACACTAAACAATTGATATTTCATTTTATCGTAATTATTTTTCAATTTCTTTGTTCATATATTTTTCATTCATGCTTATAAGTTATTAGTCTTGGACTCAACATATATATTTTTATTTTTCTCCCTTCGCCTTTTTTTCTTTAAAGTCCACACTTTATTTGCGCTTTGTGCTTGAAGCCCCAATAGACCTTAGAGCTTTTTTGCACTTTTCGCTTTTGACTTCACTTTATCCTTGCAAAATTGAGGAAACTCATTCACTTCCAAACCCCCACCCTCCTCCTCGACTACTTTTACGTAAGCATTATATGGTGATATCTCGATTTGGAGGCAAAATGGAATGGTTAAAGAGGACTTATAGAGCTCGTTTGGATTAGCCAATAAGTTTTTAAGTGTGGAAACTGTTTTTGTAAACAAGTCGTTATGTATTAAGATAGAATCAATAATAATCAGTTGACGTGTTTGGTAAAAAAATGCTTATAGGTTACTTTTTATTTGAACCCTTAATTTTTTGACAAAAAAAATACAAAGTTAATAGTATCTTTATAAAGAAAAGAGAAAACACGGATATAGAATGAATATGAAGTTGGATCTTTTATTTTGATAAAGATATTTTGAGAATTAAGAAGATATTTAGGATAAAATTGTGAAACTCTTTTGTCAAACTAGAGATACTTATAAGGTGAAAAGCCATAAGTCACGGGTGACCAACTTATGACTTTTGGCTGATTTTAGCCTATAAGCATTCAACTTATAAGCACTTTGAGGGTTTACGAGACGTGTAAATTAGCTAAAAAGTGCTTATAAGCCAGCCTATAAGCTTAGCGAAACACCCTCATAGTAATTTATTGGTTGATTTATATCCAAAATGCTATTGCGAGAAATTTCCAAAAGTTTGTTTATTAAGATGCCAAGGAATTAAGGGATAACAAATGTGAGTTAAAAGTTTTCACCTCTGTCTACTGCTCTTCCATTAGAGTTATGTGATGGATTCTTGGATATGAAGCACGGTAGAAATTTCTTTTAGATTTTCTTGTTTTAGGTACCCAAAAGAGCCCCAAGTTGTTTCTCTCGATCCAGGCCTTCCTCTTAAGAATTTTCCATGCTAGTTGAAGTTGAGCTGCCCTGTTACAACATTTGCTTGGGTTTTCAAAAGAATAATCTATTTAGTACTTTATCAATCCTTACAAAAATAGAACCTACTTGAAATCTATTTTGAAATTTATCAATATATTCTTGATACTTCAACAAATTTCATCTTAATTTGGAAACGTAATTATGACTTTAAAGACAACTTCTAAACTAAGGGACATGAATCCAGTCTTCATAAATATGCTTACAACGACCTATTTTCTCTGGTCGTTAAATCCATTTTTTGCTCAACATTATTGACGAGATAATATCCCGTCCTTAAAAAGTAAAATAACCGGTTGTTAAAAATTAATTAATCTATAAAAAAGAGATGCTACTATTTCCTTCCTTTCTTTTTCTCCAACCCACCCCTCCAAAAGAAACCTTTAGGCTTTAATAGAAACACACCCCCTGTTTAAAAGAACTAGTCATCTGCTCCGTCCCAACATGTTCATCTGTAATTGTTATCAAAAGTATCACCTTAGTTGGCATCCATTGTTCATATCAGAGTTTCTTCTCAAGATAAGGTTAGAAACTTACCCTTTTTGTATGTTAATTTTGGTTCAGTTAATAGGGTTATGATTGCACTTGTAAGTATATGGATGTTGGTTTTTTCTTTCATGATGGTTGATCAAGAATTTGCGTCATTATCTATTACAATTTTTCCTAATATGGATTTAAGAATTTTTAAATTTTCTTAATCTGAGCTAACGAAACAAAAAATTATGGCATGGTCGATTTCAATGTGCAATCCCCATATAATCATCTTTATTTATTCCACTGCTTTCGATTTGTGTTATTCTTTTGCTTTCTCCTTCACAATGACCAGGAGGAAGGCCATCCCATAAAAAGAGCAAGGAAGAAAGTTTTAAACTATTCCTCTCTTTAAGAAATAACAATTGCAGAATAATTTTCCTGTTCCTAAACCAATTTGAGTACGAATTGCAGTTATCGCCTCTATCAACATTGGAGTCATCATTCAATTCTTTTAATGTGAAGAAACTTGATGGTATACATGCTTCTTGTCGTTGACATTTTCTTCTTCGTCTGAATTTATCCCTTTTCACTTTATAAATGGTTTATTTGTCTATTCAACAGCCGCTTTTGCTGTAGATCCTCTTTATCATCAGACATCAGCTTAGTTGATGAAGGTGGTGCAAAGGATTGCCGTGTCCTTTTTGGTTCATTTGAGATACCCTGGGAAGTCTGTACCAGAAGCAATTCCACATGATAGATCAGAGTCTATTGTTATATGTGTTGCTAAAGGTTTGTGGCTTTGGAATTGTATGTGGTTTTGGGTTATTCTTTCATTTAGATGCTGGAAGGTTCTTTTTATGTGATCCACTATCAATTGATTGTTAATAGGCCTTCTCTGTTAGTATAGATTGTGTTGAAGAAATGATGTTGAATATGCCCAAGAAGGATTAGACATTGCCCCGTCTGAGGCATATATTTGTCAATTTGGTGGAGAGATGCCGGTGCCAGCTGAAACAGATTTCACCAGAACAAACTTTGAGTTGTTCAGCCTGACCGATGGATCATGATGATGATGGAAGAAGTTTGTCAGATCAAGGCTCTCACAGTGTTGATCAAATTCTTCAAACCAACAGGAGATGGAAAACACTTTACTTTTTGTTTCCTTCAACACTAATTTGAAATTGACGCCCTTGAAAACAGATGAACTGAAATTTTGTACTTTTTTTTGTTTGGTTTCCCACCCGGTGTCCGGCACCCACATTGGAGCCCGACTAAATCCGGATTCGCGCCGGGAAGTCCCACATTGGGGGGGCATGACAGTGAACCATTTACTTTTCCCGATGCTGAGGATTATGACAGATCTGATGATTACTTGTTTTGTAGTCCAGGATTTTCTTCACATTTCCTGGGCTGGTCCTTATCATTGGAAGCATCAGAAGGTGAAAAGTAAGCTTCCATAGGAATACCAGAAGGAATTGTAACTTTTCCAATCCTCCTCTCTCCAGTCATGGGAGAAATCTACAGCAGTTTAAAGTTTCTTTGGTGTTTAATATCTCATGAAAATTCTCAGTCTTAGAGGAGCCTTGATATGAAGATGGATCACCAGTAAAATCTTAGAAAACAAAGAGTGGAGAAGCAGAATCTGAAATTGCTTTCACCAAAGCTTTCGACATTGATCTATCACATGGCTTTGCTCCTCCAAAGAATCCCATGTTAGTACTATTTCCAGAAAATAGAACACTATGTAACAGGTTACTTCCAGAAGATTGTCATTATCAACCTAAAATCTTGTGAAGCTGTTTCTTTGAGCCAATGTCACGGTAACTCTAGTCACCTTGACTAGTCTGTTATGTGCTGACTACCTTAGAAAAATATTATGATTGCTTGTATTCTTTTGCCTAAGTGCCTTGGAAGGAGAGGAAAGCAAATCCCAGGTTAGATAACTTTTATGGCCATCCGCCCCAAGAGGTTTGTTGGAGGCATCTATCGAGAGCGTTATGGTTGAAGGAGGGGGACTTTAATACTAAATTCTTTCACAGGGAAGCAGTAGCAAATAGAAGCCATGTGGGAAAGGGGGAAGTAGTAGAGGGGGCAGTTGTAGATTATTATGAAAAATTGTTTAAAAGAAAAAGTGGAGTGGAGGCCTACTATGGGGGGTTTAGGGTTCAGTCTAATCGGACGGGAGGTGAATGGTTGGAGAGGGCAATCGAGGAGAAGGAGGGGAAAAGAGTGGCGGAGTGTTGAGCATGTGACGAAGCTCGACCCCAAATGGTTTCTCTTTGGCTTTTTTTTAGCATTGCTGGAATACAGTAAAAACAAATGTGATGAATTCTATTGCTGAGTTCCAACATAGTAGTGAATTTGAATAGAGTTTGAATGCCTCGTTCATTGTTATCATCCCTAAATGGGAGTGAGCTACGAGCGCAGTGGATTATAAGACTTAAGAAGGTGTTGGCTGAAGTCGTTTCTACTTCACAAAATGCTTTTGTGGAGGGCAAACGGATTTTGTATGCAGCGTTGGTGGCAAACAAAGTGATGGATTCAAAGATAAAGCAGGGAGTACCTGGTGTGTTGTGCAAACTTGATCTTGAAAAGGCATGCGATCATGTGAATCGGAAATTCCAGGATTGAAGATCTTCCTGCTATACTCTCCACAATTGTAATTAGGAACCTGTAATTTGTTGTGGCAGGTTCTGGTTTTTTGCTTTGGAATAGAATACAAGTTGTTACCTTCTCAAAAAAAATTCCAGGATTCCATTATGCTTCAAATGTGATTTGGGGAGAAGCGAAGGAAATGAATCTACTTTTGTGTTTCTTTGGTGAGATTTTGGAGCTATGCCAGCTTGGGATGATGATAGTGGATTTCCTGGGACCTTTTATGAATTGATGGCAATGCATTTAGTGATGTTGGGAAGTTAAGTACACTTGTCTCTCAACCTCGCCAGGTTTCTTCCTCTTCTCAAATCTTGACTATTTATGCCTGTGGTTCTGCAATCTAGATTCCTCCAAGTGTAACTTTTAACCCTCAGGCCAACAGTTGATCAAGTGTGATTTATACAGATTAAGATCTTCCGCAGAACTATGATATAAACATTTTATCAACTTGTACTAAACTGGTTACTACCAAATATTATCTTGTGCAGGTACCAGGCCCTATTCTTCAAAAACCATGTCCACTGATTTTTATTTTTAAGAACTCCGCACTTTGGCTGTTCTTTTAATTTTCTGTTGTGCCTGTTACTTTTTTTTGGGGGGGTGGGG